GGTAAACGGTCAGCCTTCGTCACCAGCAAGAGCGGCATCCAGCCGCACAGGATCGGCCAGGCTCTAACATCCGACCTGGCCAAGTCCACGACCCGACCCAGCCCGACGCCCACGCCAACCAGCACCGTGCTCTACGAGTGGTGCTGCAAACCGGACAGCAAGCTCAGCGCGACCTGGAGGAAGAAAGGAGGAGCTGCTGTCAGGTGTGGCCTTCCAGGTCTCGACCTCTCAAAGCAGTTCGTGGTCCAGAAGCTGGTGGGCCGGATCAGGAAGAACCTTGCCTCAGGCAAGAGCGCACGAGTTCACGCGGCATTTCCCTGCCAGCCGTGGACTTCACTACAACGACTCGTTGTCAGGATTGACCCGAGCAAGCTGCGCAAGCTCAAGAAGGATCGGGCGAAGTCGCAGCAGATGATCGGCCTGTTCCTGCAGTCGATGTCTCGGCTGCGCAAGGAGTTCGGCGCTCAGCTCGCCGTCTCATTCGAGTGGCCGAGGTACTGCGACGGATGGGACCCCACCAAGAACGCGACCGCCATGAAGCGCATCGTGGACTTCGATGGCTGCGCGTTCGACCTCAAGACGAAGAAGGGGATCCACATTAAGAAGCCGTGGCGGGTCATCACCGACCACTTCGGGTTCGACGACTCGCTCAGGCGCTTCTGCAGCGGGGGACATCCTCACGCGGAAGCCCGCGGTAAGGACGCCAAGCGCAGCGAGAACCACACGGACAAGCTCGCGAAGGTGCTCGCCGAGCAGCTGCGACGTCCGAACCGACGACCTGTTCGAAAAGCTCACCCTACATCGACGACGAGAAGGGCAAGCAGAAGGACGGTTCCAGCCGCTGCAGCCGCGCAGGAGCCAGCGCTCACGGCCGCGGAGGAGCGGACACTTCGGTCCGCAGTTATGCAGCTCCACGTCAACACTGGGCACCCGTCCAACGATTCGCTTGCGAGAGCTATCCGCGTGACCGGCGGATCGCAGAGGTCCATCGAGATGGCCCTCAACCTCTACTGCGAGGTATGTGCAGCACATCAGCGACCACTACCTCACCTGCCAGGAAGGATCAGACTGGACAGGGACTTCAACGACTCCATCGGCGTGGACCTTTTCACCCTGGCCGACTACGCGGGCAACCAGCTGATTTTTCTGAATGTGGTCGACCTGGCCTCAGGTTTTACGATGTGCGGCACAGTCGCATCAAGACACCCGCCAGTTGTTTTCGCTCGACTGCTGCAGATTTGGATCACGCCTTTCGGCGCTCCTCAGCGTGTCATCTTTGACGGAGGAGGTGAGTTCGAGCGCGAAATCTCCAAGGAGCTCGAGGACATGGGCTGCCGCTTGATGACGACATCCGCGGCCACGTCGCAGCAGAATGCTACCGTGGAGCGACACGGTGGCCTGTGGAAGGTGCACGCGAGGAAGCTGATCGACCAGTTCAGCATCAGGTTCGACCAGACCGCGGTCGCTCAAGGTCCAGTGGCTGATCGCCTCCGCGTGCTGGGCCATGAACAGCCAGGTCAACTCCACGGGCTACTCGCCGTCGCAGTGGGTGCTCGGGCGAGGCCTTCGCCTTCCGCACTGTTTGCTGGACAACGCCGGAAGGCTGTCCCTGCACGAGCGCATCGTGTCCGATAAGCCGTTCTCGGAGAGGATCGCCATCATGAAGGCCGCGCAGACCTCCACGCAGCAGCTCAGGTTCAACCAGTCCCCCTCGAGGGCGCTGCTGGCCCGGTCCCGGGCAGATGGAGCTCAGCACGCCAGCGACGTCTACCAGACAGGCGACCAGGTGTACTACTGGAGGGGCAACGGCAAGCCCAAGCGCGAATGGGCTTTGCAGTGGCACGGGCCAGGCATCATCATCGGGTTCGAGGGCGCCTCGAACGTCTGGGTCAGCCACCGCTCCACTACCGTGAAGGTCAACCGTGGACACCTACGCCACGCCACGGCCACGGAGCTCGCGCCGCGGGGCCAGTTGCTGAACGCGCTGAACAGCAACCAGCCGCCAGGCCCACCGCCAGGCGCCCCGCCAGGGACCTCAGGGCCCGCACATCCTCCGGACTCTGGAGGAGGCGGCGGTGGTGCAGGCGGCGGCCCTCCGCCGCCCGGCCCAGGCGGAGGAGGAGGACCTGCTGGACCCGCGCCGCCAGACGCAGACGAGGACATGTTCCTCGACCTGACCGGACCGGCGCCGCAGAAGCGCCCCCGCAGTGAAGGTCAGCCCCCAGCACCACCCGCGCTACCAGCACCAGCACAGCAGCCAGCCATCGCGCAGCACAACTTCGGCAACATTGAGATGTCCGCGGCAAATCAGCGCGCTCATCAGTACCATGAGTGGCTGGCCCGCCGTCTCAAGGTGACGGTGATTTCACTACCAGTGGAGGAGCCAGCGGCAGTGGAGGATCGGCCCCACCGCCCTCGGGAGGAGCCGTGCAGCAGCAGCCACCGCTGCCGCCGCCAGCGGAGCCGCAGCCGCCACCTGCGGCAGCCGACCCGCCGGCGCCAGACTCAGGCGGTGCTGCCGCCCCTGCAGCTGCCGCTGCTCCTGCCGCCGAAGAATTTCAACGTCCTGAACCCGCGCCTCAGGGCCCAGTCGACGCCGACGAAGACGACAAGCAGTCCGACAGTTCCGGATCGGACAGGATTCGGGAGTGGGCTCAGATTGCGGAGGAGCAGGCGCGCCAGGTGACCATGGCTCGCCGCCCACTGGACGCCGAGAACCAGCGCGGTACCAAGACGCAGCGCCAAGTTCGACAAGAGAACGCACCAGCGGCACTGCAGCGTGACCGCCAACAAGAGCTCGACCCCCGCGAGCGCGCCGCAAAGCGCAAGGAGCTACTGAACGACCTGCCTCAGTGCCCGAGGGACACGAACAAGGTCGACCTCTACCTGGACAACTACTTCCAGAAGCACGCGGACGAGCTCTACGCTAGCACACGACTCCGTGAGGCACTGCTCACGGGGAACGCCACCGCCAAGGAGCTCAAGTACGACACGTTGAGCGCCACCGAGAAGAAGAACATGGACGCCGCCATGAAGACCGAGTGGTCCAAGTGGACGGAGTTCGGCGCCTACAAGAAGCTCCCGCCCAAGGAGCTGAAGGAGCTCCTGCGGCGCAACCCTGGCATTCGCCCTGCGGGCACGCGCTGGGTGCTGACCAGCAAGGGCCAGAACGTCATGAAGGCTCGCCTGGTCGCGCAGGGCTGCCAGGAGGACAAGTCGCAGATCAGGACGGACGCACCTACGGGATCCAGGGACGCGCTGTACCTGACCCTCGCTGCCGCAGCCCAGAAGGGCTGGGATCTCTCGTCCTACGACGCGATGACGGCCTACCTGCAGTCAGTCGGGTAACATCGAGAGGCTGCTGCTCCTGCGCATGCCGGCCAAGAACCCGCCGCCGGGGACTCAGCCCGGCGAGATCGCCATGGCCACAGGCGCGATCTACGGGACGCGCGACGCCGGGAGGCAGTGGCACCTCTACGCGCAGAAGGTCTTCGCCGAGCACGGCCTTGTGGAGAGCAAGCTCGAGAAGGGCCTCTACTACTTCTACGACGAAGGTGGGCTCGCCGCTGTGGTCCACTCTCATGTGGACGATTTCCTGATCGCCCAGCGCAGCAACTCCACGAAGTGGAAGGCTACCATCGCCTCGCTGGGGAAGAAGTTGCACCTCAAGCCGGTCGAAGAAGGGGTCATCAAGTACTGCGGACGTACCATCACCAAGCTCGACGACGAGTTCCGCGCGACCCAGGCCACCGCTGCAGCGCAGGTGGACTTTGTCGACCTGAAGGCCACCAAGGGCCGAGGTGCCGAGGACCGGCTCACCGCCACCGAGGTGACGAGCTACCGCCACACGCTCGGGCAGCTGTTGTGGCTAGCGGTGCAGACCCGGGTAGACATAGCCTGCCCGGTGAGCTTCGCAGCTCGCCGCACCAACATCGCCACCGTGGCCGACGCGAAGACGCTCAACAAGACGGTTGCCTACGCGCACTCCACCGCGAACTTCGCGATCGTGCTCAAGCGCAAGCTCGTCGACCTGAAGACGGCCATCACCGCGTGCTTCAGCGACGCCGCGTTCGCCAACGTGGACGGCGTCAAGAGCCAGTGGGGCATGGTGATGGGGCTCACCCACCGCCCGCGCGACGTCGTCGGTGGTCGCTACGACCTGTGTCTGCCAGTCGCCTGGCACTCCGGCACGGTCAAAAGGTCGGCGAAGTCGACCCTCGCCGCCGAGGGCTACGCCACCCTCGAAGGATCGGAGACCAACATTTGGTTCCGACAGCTGCTCACCGAGGCCTACAACCCCAAGACGGCGCTCAAGCAGATTGACGTGCTCGCCGACAAGCGCCTGGGGGAGATCTACAGCGACAGCAAGGGCCTCGCGTCGCACATCCAGTCCGATGTGGGCCAGTCTACGGACAAGCGGTTCCGCATCGACGCCTCCATGATCAAGGAGGCCGCGCATCCCAACAGCGCGCTCAAGCTCAGTTGGATCCCGCCCTGGGCCATGGTCGCGGACGCCCTGACGAAGGCCATGGAGGCCGGCGTCCTGCTGTCGTTCTTCGGGGCCCGCAAGCACACCTACGGGACCCGGCAGCCGCACGCCGCCATGCTCGCCTCGGTGCTGTTCACCTGCCTCGGCAAGGTCAAGGGACAGCCAACGCCTACGCCGACGACGCCGGACCTCAGCTACTACCTGTGCCTGCTGACGTTCGCGCTGTTCTTCGGTATGGCCATCGGGTTCGGCATCTTCATGATGCTGTGGACGATCATGAGGCAGAACCACGCGATTGCCACCGAGCAGAGCGTCGCCGAGGCCAAGGCCATGGGCGAGCACCCTGGCTGGGACGGCCGCCTGCTGGGCCGGCGCCGCAACATACCGACGATCCCGGAGGACCGTGACTACGACGGCGATGTCATCATGCAGCCCCCTGGAGGCGCAAGCAGTGCGAGTTCAGCGACATCGGCGTCTGGCGTGTCTTTCGGACACCATCCATCGAAGCCACCAATTCCAGCATTTCCAGCACTGCAGCAGCCGCCGACGCCGCCAACACCGCCACCTTCCAGTGCATCACCATCACCGCGCACGGCAACATCGACCCCGGGATCGGGACGATCGAGGTCAGCAAGGGCCTCAGGCAGCTCAGGCAGCTCGGCACCTACATCGCCATGCATCGTTTCCGTGACGAGCTCATCGAGTGCGATCAGCGCCAGTGGAGTCCAGTGGCACGGGTCGTCGCCTACGGTAGAGCCCAGCGACATGCTTGATTGCATCAGCAAGCGGCACGACTTCGTGGTCGGCCACAACTCGCACAGCGCATACATCACCTGCAAGAGCTGCAAGAAGCACTTTGTTTTCAGACTATACTACGCTAAGACAGCGGCCTTCGCTCCAATCGCTTTCCCAAACAGCAGTCGAGGCCCAGAGATGCGGCAGCACTGCGATAGACAGAGCTCCTGGAACACGGCAGAAGAAGACAAGATCGCGGGGCCGCACGAAGATGCAACTTCCGCGTACACTGCCGACGCTCAGGCTGAGAAGCCCTCTCCCACGAGATCGCAGGGCATGCTTGAAAAGACCGGGGGCCACGAGCCAGGACCTGCGATAGCCGCTGCACCCCAGCTGGGACAGGCCCGCAGACCTGGAGGACGGAGCTCCACGGCGGACGGGGCGAGCGCGCGCGCGATAGCCCCCCTGTGCTGGGCCACCTCCCCGCCCGCCCGGGAGACGGAGGAGGGAAGAGGAGGGCACAAGGAAGGAGGGAAGCCGAGGAGGAAGGAGGACGGGGACAGGACGAGCCAGTCGAGCCTCCGCTCAGGCCACCAAGCAGGATGCCGAGGTAGCCCCACGCTGTAACGGGGCAGCCCTCAATCCGGGTAAACACGTCACTTTCTGAGCCGCTAAAAGCGCGAAGCGCGGCCGGGAGGGGCAGGGAGGACGAGGAGGGCGAGGAGGACGACCTGGTGCCGAAAGCTGGCCCGTCCGACCCCTCACATATACGACCAGTAAGCAAGCGTGGCGGGTCGTCTCGGGGCTGTCTGGACCCGCGCGGGGCTCCGGAGCTTGCGGCTGGAACGGGGCCGCTCGCCAGAAAAAGACGCCGGCTGAACAACTCGCCGGGGCGCAATCGAACTGGCACGAGAATTGTGAGACGGGGCCGGCACGAGGAGGAGGAAGGGAGCGGAGGAGAAGGAGGGAGAAACGAATCGCTTCACGAGCACCGGGTGCTCGGGGCGACTGCACGCGGCCTCCGGGCCCGGGAGAGGGAGGGGGGGGGGCAAGCAGGCAAGGCAGGGGGGCAGTCGGGCAGGCGGCGGCGGGGCGGGGGGGCACGGCCGCGGGGTGTGAGCCACCAGACCCCGCCGTTAGGCGCGCGTGCGCGGGGGCGGGCGGGGGCGGGGTGGGGGTTGGGGGGGGGCGACGGGGGCGCGGGAGGGGGCGCCTACGAGGCACCCTCCTCCCGGTCGGGCCAGCACGCCTGCACCTGCCTGGCGGCGCGGCGCCACAGCTCCGTGCCGATGGCCGCGGCCAGCCGCTTGTACCGCCACTCCCCATCAGAGCAGCCACGCCTCCGCGATTGTTTCATCGCGAGAGTGCGGAGGATGGCTGTCGTCCGGGGGTGGGGGCGGCCGTAGCAAGTGTAGACCAGCGGCTGGTATGTGATGTTCTGCCGCGCCAGAACATCGGCGTGCGCCGAATAGTACTCGACCTTACGCCGGCGCATGGTGGCCGCGCAGTCCGGGCCGGCCGCCACGGCGTCAGGCGAGGCGATGCCCACGTCGAGGGCCAAGAGGCCGTTGCCGAGGGCGCCGGTCAGCACGTCGGCTGGTCGGACACGCGTTCCTGGCACCAGGCCCGGGGCCTCGCGTTCTGCTCCTGGGTCGCAGACTCTGGCCGCGGCGTGCACCTGGCGCGCCACCGCGCGGTGCCCCCGCGTTGATTCCGCGTGACAGCAGCAGAGGGCGCGCGACCCTGCCCGGTCGAGGACCGCCTGGCCGCAGAGGCCGCACGGGACTGGGTCCAGCGGCCCGGCGGCGCCCACGCGCAGGCGCAGGGCCTCGGTGAACTCGGGGCTGTCCATCACGGGGCCCTTGTGCTTCGAGAGGTTCCAGAGCCAGGAGTGGTCGCAGTCGGAGTGTTCGAGGTCGTCGAGCCGCCGCAGCGCCGCGTCGTCCCCAGCGCCCGCGTGCCTCTTGCGAAGGTCGTGCCGTCCCTGCTCGTCGAGGTAGCGAAGTAGAGCCCGCTGCAGGTGCAGCTGCCGCGTGCGCGGGGCGGAGTTGGGGTGCTCGTTGTCCTCGTCCTCGTCGAGCGGAAGCAAGTTGCGGCCGAGGCCCCGGGGGCGGCCGCGGCGCTCCTCGGGCGCGGCGGCGGGCGCCTCCGCGTGCCGGTTGAAAAGGGCGGCCCAGCGACCCTCGGCTTCCACGGCGGCCTCTGAGAGCGCGGCCACGAGGAGGCTGCCGACCGTGGGCGGTAGGCTGAAGACAAGGCGGGCCGCGGCGTCGTCCGCGCGCCTGTCGTACTCGGCCATTATGACCCCTGCCTCGCCCAGGCCCCTCTCCGTGAGGTGCGTTGCCATCTCCCGCACGCGAGGCCTCGAGCACACGCGGCTGGCCACGAAGGCCGCGAGAGACACCTGCGAGGCGGTCCGCATGCCAAGGCCTCCTGTGCTCACGCCGAGCGAGCACTGCTCCCACGCCGCGTCGGGGAGGTCGCCGCCTGCGACAAGCTGCACGGCTTCGCGGAGGTCGTTGTCGAATTGCTGCAAGTGCTCGTCCTTCACCCTGTCCCCGTTGAGTCGTAGCTGGTAGGAGAGCTTCGACACGTCGGCGCAGAGCCGCGTGAGCACCAGTTCCGTCGCGGCGTGTCCGACCTCCAGCAGGGCTAGTCGCGTGTCGCGGGCCTTGGTTAGCACGGCCTTGACCTGGTCGTCGAGAGCGTCGGGGCTGCCGAAGGGAGCGCCGAGTGCCAGGGTGGGGCCCTCCGGGGCCAACACGTTGCAAGTGGTCCGAACGTATTCCGTGTCCCAGCCGTCGTAGCGGTGCCGCTCGCTGTCAGGGCAGAGGAGGCGGCAGGAGCTTTTGGCGGTGCCGGCAGCCACAGTCCCGCGGGTGCCGCCGAAGACCGCGAGAGTGGCGTCGAGGCTGCGCAGGAAGGGATCCAGCGCGTGCGGGCGGACGAATACCTGACCGTCGTCGATAAACCACTGCTCGCAGAAACCCGGGGCGGCGGCCCCTGCAGCGGGCGGGCCGGTGCGGGGGGCGCGAGCGGCAGCAAGCGTGAGGCAGGCCTGCACAGTTCCGAAGCCGTCGCCCTGTTCGGCGCCGCGGTCCGTGGCGAAGGTCTCGCTGGAAGGGAGGAGCGTCTCAAAGGGTTCTTGCTGGTGCCAGGAGGTCCAGGCCGCGATCTCCGGGAACTCTGTCGGGTCTATCGAAGACCGCATCGTGTCCCACTCCACGCTGCCGAACATGTTCACGAGGTCCACGTCCAACGCCACCAAGGCGGGGATGGCACCTTGGGCGGCCAGCTCCTCCACCGTTCCGCGCCAGTGCGCCATGGCCTCACAAGCGCCCGTCACGCCCACGCCCCACTGGTGGGCGGCGCGGAAACGAGCGCGGAGAGAAGGGAGGTGCCGTTTGGTGTAGCGCTTGGCAAAGCTCGTGCGTATAACTTCGCCCATCTTGATAGGCCTTGGTTTGCCGTTGCGCTTCCTCTGCCACATGAGCCGCGCGCGGGTGATCCAGCGCATGGGCCCCTGCAGTTCGCCGCCCCGCATGGCCGAGTGAAGCCGCCCCAGGGCCCGCCGAAGGGCGGCTGCTTCGCGCTGCCGCGGCACGGAAAAAAGCTCGGTGAGGTGCTCCGGCCGTGCGCCAGAAGGTCCAGGAGCGGTGAGCTTGCTCCATCGCACACCATCGAGGGGCCCACCGTCGGCCGAGGCGTCGTCGGGATCGCCCTCCTGCTGGGCGCCGTCGGCGGGGCGGTCGGCAGGGGGACTGGGCGCTGGCGCTCCGGGAGGCGGCTGCGGCCCACTCAGCGCCGAGTCAGGCCGCCCTGTGCGCGGCAGGAGCTCCTCAGCGCGCGCCCTGTCCTCGGCGGCTGTGGTTGGCAACGTGCTGGAGGTCAGAGAGGTTACCGCTTTCCTGCAGGCCCCCTCGGCGGCGAGATGCCTAGCTCGCCTCCCGCGGCGTTCCGGGTCGTCAGCCCCTTGCGGTCGGCTGCGCCCCCGGGCGCGGTCGCTGGCGATTCGCCGCTGCCCCAGCCTGTCCAAGAGTGCTGCAAACTCACCGCCCTCCCACATGGAGGCCCGGGTGCCTACCTCGTCGGCGGCCGCCATGCCCTGGGGGACCGAGCCAAGCAGGAGCTTGGAGCGAGCCTCCTCCAGGGCGGCCCAGGCGGGGTCACCATCAGCGCTTCTGTTCCAGCATTGCCGCGTGATGCGGAGAAGGCGCAACCGGCAGCTGAGGGGGATATGAATGACCGTGTTGCGTGAGAGTCGGCGGACGCGAACCGTGAAGTCCAGCGGCAGCGCCGGCGCCCCAACCACGGGCGAGTCGTCAAGGTGGGCTCCCTCCGCGGCCGGCGCCGCAGCAGCGGCTGGCCCGTCGCCAGCAGCAGCTTGGGCTTGCGGCGGTGCGCCAGCGGAGGCGGGGCCGGCAAGAATGTCCCCGACGACGGGAGGTCGGCTGGGCGTGGTCTGGCGGCAGCGAGTGCAGTGCCGCTGCCCAAGGGGACGGAGCCCGCCGCATGTGCTATCTGTACACACGCTGCGTTGCATAGCGTGCAAGGTCACCCGCATTGGCTCGTCGACGGGGCGCCCCGGGTGCGCACTGCTGAGGTGGCGGACGAATCCGGCAGCGGGGCGAAAAGATCGCCCCTGACACCACGGGCACCAGAAATGACCTCCATGGAACGGGACATGTGCAGGAGCGGGATCGTCTGCTTCTGCTGGCGGCTGGGGTTCGGCGCGGGAGCGCTCAGGGATGAGGGAGCTCTGTGCTGCGGCACGGGCCCGGGAGAATACTCCGGCGGGGGGTCGAGCCGCGCCTGCGGAGAGGGCGCCAGCCGCGGCAGCGGGCGGCGGGGGCGGACGAGCGGAGGCGGCGGGCCGGGAACCCGAAGAGGGGCTCGACGCGCGGGCTGGGGCAGCAGCTCGCGGGCACCTGCACCAGGTGAGAGCAGAGTGGCAAGTCGGGCAGATAATCTCGGCGCCGCCGGCCCCTGGCTGCTGGGCGCCCGCGTCGACCGCCATCCGCGCAGGGGCGGCGCTGGCGCTCGAAGACGCCGCGCCGGCGGCGGCAGCGGCGGGGGGAGGCGGCTCTGGCGCCGCTGAGCCCCGTGCCTCTGCCAGGGCAGCGGCGCGGCGGGACTCCTCGAGGGGAGTGCCGGCGTCGACCTCCACGCGGCGTTCTCTGTCCGCGGTCAGCTCGCCCATGCGGAGCTCGAGCAGCGGCTCGTCGCCCTCCGTGCGACCGCGTCGAAGTTGTCGTCCAGGCGAGCCCCGGGCCCCAGTGCCATCGCCTACCTCGATGAAGGTGTTGCGTACTGCAACGTTTGGCGTCCGTCGCGGGCTCCTGCTGGTAGGCGCCTCTGCGGGGAAGGCGGGCGTGAGGATGGCCCTCGCGATCAAAATGATCTGCCCACATACTGTCAACCCTGAAGGCGGCACGCCATACCAAACAGGGCTGAGAAGGCAGGTGGCCCAAATCGTGACCGCAATGCAAATTGGCCTCGTGAAGTGGAGCTGCGTGGACATGGCAGCGGCGCATGCGCTCGCAAGTGCACGCTGCATCGGTAGGCCGTGCACGGCGGCACCGAGCGACAGGATGCGCAGAGGTGTGGGCGAAAAGCCTGCGACCGTGAGAACGATGCACGGGAAAGTGGGAGTGGGGAGCAGCGGCCCCAATATCACGTGCAGCGTCTGCGTGAGAATGGCGTGGAGCAGCAACGGGTACCCGATGGCCAACGCATTGACGAACGAGGCCGGTATCATGCGCAAGAGCTGCTGAAGCAGATCAGCCGGGGCGGGGGAGCAAGGGCTCGAAGACGTGGAGCGCGTCGAGGAGACTGTGGCTGCGCAACTGCGCACGTGGCCGAGGTAGAAGAGCTCAGCCGGCCCCACGAGCCGCGTGGGTGGGGGAGCTTCGAAAGCCCGTCCACCGATCGTGATATTGGCAGCGTTCGAAGCCCATGTCACACCGATTGCGCCATACCTTCGCGTAGAGCTCGCTGGAGCCCTGCCACGCGCCACCAAGAAGCTGCTGGTTCTCGTCGTGCTGTTTGAGGTGGCGCTGCTGGTGCGCGTTATGGTGGTCGCGGTTACGCCGCTGATCCAGGTCGTAGACGTCGGGGTGGTGCTGCCCGCCAGCTGCGGCAGTGTGGGCGAAGGCGTCGCGGTCGACGGGACGCCCAGCGCCAACTTCAACCCCCTGCCCGCCCCATGTGCTCGTGCAGAGCTGGCTGGGCTTGTGCCATGCGCCTCCGGGCGGTCCAACGCAAGGCCGAAAGTCTCGAACATCATTTTCCAGACGCCGAAGTGCTCGAAGTGCGCGACGCTGGATTCCATAACGAGGCCGGCATTGCGGCACGAGGCGTGCGACGGCGGCTCCATTGGGAGGGCCATGCGCATGTCCAGCGCGTCGGCGGTCTCGGCGCTGAGCGCGAGGAGGTGGGTCCCGCTGAAGCCGAAGATGTTCGCGAAGAAGTTGTTCCCGTCGAGGCCGACAGTGCCGGACAGCGGGGCGGAGTCGTAGAAGCCACCGACGGCGCCATGGGAGTGGATGACCAAGCTCAGCGTCGTCAGGCGGAAGGCCTCGAGCTCGATGCCGAACGTGCGATGCTGGATCGCGGCGACGTGTGCCCAGGAGGTCACGATGCCGTGCAGGATGTGGATCTCGAGCGTCAGCATGCGGCTCTGCACCTCGACGGTGAAGCTGCCCCTCCGGTTGAAGACGCACCATAAGCTTGGCATCTTGCAGTCGTGGGAGCCGTCGACGCCGCCGAAGTAGCTGCCGAAGGTGAGGCTTGCGATGAGGGACGCGTCGGACAGGGCGATGTCGGAGTGTTCCGGGGGCTCCAGAACAGAGGAGGAAGGTCGAGGGACGGGGTGGGGGGGGGGCGGGACGGCGGGGCTTTGAGGTGAGGAGAGTGCCAGGGGAGGGGGTCGACCGCTGTTCTGGAGGGGAGGGGGCGGTGGTGGCCCCCGCCGCTTTCGCCCTTACCTGGGGGCAGGGGGGATGGGATGGTGAGCTCCCCCTCCGAGGTCGCGATGCCGGGCTCGATGCCGGGCTCGACGTCCAGGAAGTCGCGATGCCTGGCTCGGCGTCCAGGACCGCGGAATCCCTGGAGATGCCGAAGATGCGGCAGGAGGCGTGCAGCGACGGCTCCATCAGGATGACCATGCGCATGCACGGCGTGTCGGATGTCTCGACGATGTTCGCGAAGACATGGTTCCCGTCGGGGCTGTAGCTGTTCGCGAAGAAGTGGATCCGGTCCGGGCTGAAAGTGGCGGACGGCAGGGCGGAGTCGTCGGGGCCGTCGACGACGTCGCTGGCGCGGCCGCTGTGGACGTGGAAGGCGCTGGCCACGACCATCGGAAGATCCTGCAGGGGACCTGCGGAAGGCGCAACGCCTGGAGGGCCACGGCAACAGAGACGGAGAAGGGGGGGGCAAGGGCGGGCAGAGGACGAAGGCAGAGCCGCACGATAGGAAATGTGGGACGGGCACTGGGGAGTATGGGCGGTCGGAAATGCCGCGGCGTTCACCCGCTGCGGGGGGCGAGGGGGGGATGGGGGGTGGTGCCGGCGAGTTGGTGGGGTGACCATGCTCGCCCCTCTCTGGAGAATCGGGCTCGAACGATTGGCCCCCTGTCTCCGCGGCTGTCCCGGCGACGAGGCCGTCGGGCAGCGCGGCGCCCCAGAGAGGTGGGCGGGCCTGCCGTCGGCGCAGATCCCGACGCAGAAGGGGGCCGCCACGTCGAGGCGCGGGGAAGCGCGCGGCAGGGCGACGCGGGACGAGGCGTCCGCAGCGTCCTGCGGAGGGCCTGCAGACAGTGCAAAACCTAAGAGGGAATCGCAGAAGAGACAGGGCTGAGAGGGGCGAGCGGGAGCAGGGGAGGTGGAGGTGGAGGGGGAAGAGCAGGAGAAGGACGGTGAGGTGGAGAGGACCCCTGTCGAGTGACCCCTGAAGTGGGGACACAACATGGGGGGCTCTTCTGCCGCGGATGGGGGCCAGCGCCATTATCGCGGGTGCACTCGCTCCCCAGAGATCTCACCTGCAAGCACCCCGGAAAGCTCTCGCGAGGGGCAGCCAAGGCGACCCGATTCTCAGACGGCATGGCACGAGGATGGGCTGGCATCTCCCGGGACAGCGTCCGAAGCTGACCATTTTGACCCAGAGTCCCCGAAGCCATCCAGCACCAGCCAGCAGCGCGGGCGGGCCAGGCGGCCGGGGGGCAGCGGGGCGGTTGGTGCTTGTCGACGTCGTAGTTGTCGAGATGGTGCTGCTCGGTCGTGACGCTGCCGTGGTGGGCGACGGGGTGCAGCGCGATTCCAGGGCGGGTGCCAGCGATGCGGTGGTCGCCTCCGTCGCGAATGACAGCGAGGTGTTGGTCGTCACGATAGTGCTGGATAGTGATGTGGTGCTCAACTACGGCGTGGTGGGCGACGAGGTGCTGAAGAAATCCGTAGTTCTGGACGGCTGCGTCGCGAGCGACTCCGTCGTGGTCGACTACGCGGTGCTCGAAGTCCCAGTGGTCGTATGCGGTGGTAACGACCCGGCGCTGCTCGTTGAAGTGCTGCTGGATAGGGACGCGGTGCTCGACTCCGTTGCGGTTGACAACGAGGTACTGCCCGATTCCGCTGCGCAGGATGGCCCCGTAGTGCGTGAGACTGTCGGTGTCGGCGGCAAGGTGCTCGATGTCTGGGTGGTCGCAGGCAGTGCTGTGGGCGAGCGTCGGGCGGGCGTTTGCGTCGGGGAGTCGGTCGCGCTGCTTCCAGGGGCGCCCGGGGGCGCGGGAACGCGCTGGGGGGCGCGGGGGCAGGCAGGCAAGGGCAGAGCAGGGCACATGGAAAAGGTCGGAGAAGAGGGGGCGGGACCGGAGGCGCGATGAAAGAAAAGCGAAAGAATACTGAATGTCAGCCGACGCCCCATCGTCGGCTGGAATTCCCCCTGAACTCTCGCTGCCGGGCGTGGCGGAGGGGGGTGAGGCAGAAGGCCAGGAGATGCGCTGCAAGTAAAGCGGACGAGGGTGCCGTGTCATTACCACGTCCACCCCCGAACGGCTCGAATTCTCAGAAAGGCTGGGGTTTGCGGCCGGCGTGCGCCTCGGCGTTGCGGGACAGGCGGGAGGATCAAGCGGAGCAGGGCGAGGAGGGGGAAAGGACCGTAGGCACAGACAACGAGCAGCGTGAGGCCTCTCGCAGTCTGCATAGGGAGCGAGGGTGCCGAAACAAAAAGGTGGCGGGCCGCCGGGCTCAGAGGCGACCCAGGGCATGGTCCTGATCTGCACGTGGATCGGCTCCGCGAGGGCCTCCGCGAGGCTGTCGGCGAACGTTTCCACCAGGAAGGCCTTGTCGATCCCGCCCTTGGCCCTGGGGGTATTCCTCCTCTCGTGGCAGCCGAGCCCGAAGGTGTTCGCGGAGGCGGCGATGTGTTCCAGGCACGCGCCCTTGTGCGTGATGACGTCGCCATGGTGCCGGAACGTGGATACTCCCATGCCCAGCAGCTGGCGCAGGCCGTAGAGCTGGCACGCCTGGGTGAGGCGGTCGTCGTCCGCGTGCGTCTCGTTGTAGTCGCTCACGGTGTTGGTGGGCCAGTCGCAGACGATGCCCGTGGCATGCTTAGCGGTCTCCTGGTCGATCCAGTCGGTCATCTCTTCAGCCTCCGCGAGCAGCTTCTCGGCCTGCGGGCCCGTCGCGGCCCGGCAGCCGAGGGGCCCTGCTGGCCCGTCAGCGCCCGGGGTCCTCGCGCTGTGGCACACGGCCGCGGGCAGCGGCGAGGCCAGGGCGGGGGCCGCAGCCCAGGCGCCACGGCAAGCGGCGGCGACGGCCCAGAGCGCCGCTGCCCCAAGGGGGCGGGAGCCTTGGCCGCGCGATCTGCCAGGCACGGCGCCGCGGGAAGGCGCCATGGCGCGCCCCGCGGGGAGGAGGGGAGGGACCAGGGGGAGGAGGCGCGGGAGTGCGGGAGCGGAGGGCACGCCGTGGGCCGCCCCGCTCTGCCCGGGCCATGTCCCTGGAAGAAGCACGCGTCCTGGTTGACCCGTTGCTATCGCAACAGCAACCCGGATTTCACGATCTTCCCGGAGGGCGTGATGCACGACCTCATGGGTCGATAGCGCAAGATCACAGGCCGAGAGTGCGGGCGAGGATCAGATCTGACGGACAAGCCGATGAAGCCCAAGAAGGGCGACTGATCCCTGCTGCTGCCCAGACTGTCGCGGTTTTTCATCGCGACCTTGCTTACGTAAGTCCGCATTGCTGTTTCAGATTTCACACCTGGTGAAAAGATTTACACGTAAATCCGCATTTCAGAAGCTTCAGTTCAGTGTGCACAGTTTTTTGATGTGATGACGATCACACCCATTCAGATGGCTCTTTTGAGTTTTGTCGCTTCGCGATCGGACTCTAGCCATGCCTTGTTTTTGATTATAGCGCCGGCGGCGCTGAGAGCTGTGATACCCTGCAGGTCGCGTGTAGCGCATCCGCTTAAGTGCCCCGAGGGCTGCCTGCGATTGCAAGCCGTGTCGAGGCGTTTGCTCGCCTTCTGCCAGCGCGCCTGGCCTCCGCCTAATGAAGTTAGCGCCAGGCTTATATGCCCGGCTGCTCATGGCGCATCGTGCGCCCGCCCGCTGCTTTTGAGCACCGTGCAGGAGGAGTGTGATTCCAGAAGACTCGCTGCTCTTCTCACTCGCCCTCTGCTGCTGCTGCTCAGCAGTCCAGGGTCTCTCTGCCGCCGCCCGTTTTGGCTCTAATAATTTTACGGCCCTTGGCCGATTGAGCTACGTCCTCTGCCGCGCAGAGCGAGAGAAAAGCATTATCAGCGATAATCTTCCATATCACATCCCCAAGACGGCTTCCGACGGCGTCTAACGAGCCAAAAACGCCGAAAGAGAGCCAAAGGGGCCCCGAGAAGCCCCCAAAGGGCCCCAAGAGGCCCCCACGAGGCCCAGGGAGGCCCCCAAGACCTCCAAGAGACCCCCAGAAGCTCCCAGGCGGCCCCAAAAAATGATCCAAGAAGCTCCCAAGAGGTCTCCGCATCCTCATACTCCTTGTTCCTCTCTCTCCTCATCCTCACCTTCCTCCCCCACCTGTTCCCCGAAGGGCTCCCACAACGGCCGGGGGAACGCATGGTCCAAGAGCGTGGCCAAACTTTGCCCCAACGTTAAGCCACATGGGCGTATACTGAAAGGCAGGGGACGGCAGTGATTCGTCGTAAGCGTCTTCGATAATCAGCAGCACCAGCAGCAGCATCATCATTCCTGGCCCAACATCACCAATCGCTGATCCCGCAACTGTCCACATGGACTACTACTTCCATCAACGGTGGCCGCCGTGCTGGTGCGGGGCGCGATGGGCAGCGGGGCAGCAACGCGGCCCTTGTGCACGCCCTCACGCGTGGCAACTCCAACACCGCGTGACGACAAACTAGTTGTATGTACGATTGCAGAAGAGTCCCAGTCGCCACCAACACCTTGCTAGTTCGACCATGGCCTTTCGGCGGTTTCCAGCGGTCTCAGGCGATCTTCCGCGGTCTCTGGAGATGTTCAGTGCGAGAGTTGGAAGATTGCGCTTAACAAGTGGTAAATGATCGAACACCTCAATCATCGATAGGCTCGCGGCCTTCAAACCTTATCACGCGAGCTTGCTACAGCATTGTAGAAAATATACGCAACGAGTAGCCATCCTCATGACGCAACAGACCCGAACACGTTCGTGAATTTGCTAAAGCTTGCTGCTGGATCAATTGCAGACCTACCAGGTAAGATCGCTGGCCGATAAAATCACGAATCTTCTGGCTCTTGGAGCACGACCAAAGCACGATCTGATACCACGCCACGCTGACCTGGATACAAGCCCTGGGTGCATTCGATCCTCTGCATGGGAGACACGCAGACATGTATGAGTGGCATCGACTGGAAGTGCTGGAACCATCAACATAACTCTGCTCTCTCCCGCAAACAGAAGAAGCTCATGGCAGGCGCCATCTCGAGCACGTCCACCGGGCACGCGCGCACGCAGAGCGTGCAACCAATGCACGTGTCGTAGATCTGGCCAGCAAGACCGGCCAGAGCAGATATCGACGAGGAGGAGTGGAAGCAGGACGGAACCCAGCCTGGAGGCCAGTGAGACCAATACCGTCATTGGGTAAGGAATGCTCGCTGCAAGTGCATGGCTGAATCATGGCGGATGCAATAATTAAGAAGCGGTGCCGTGCCTTAGCCTATGATGACAGATCTTGTGCACTGGCTGAAACATGTGGGCACGCGTTGAACGAAGAAGGACCCGCACTGCATGTTTCAGTTCGCACATCGATGGGTCAAGAAACGGCTGTCAACGTTCACGTCTGTTTGTTCTCACAGAAGCCCTCTAGAATTGAGAGCCGTCACTGGCATAGCATCACCCGCACAGGCCCACAAGGCAACGCACGCTTGGATCATGAAGCGTACCTGGGCGAGCCTTGCTGCGTGACCGGCAGGGTGGTCAGGTCGACTTCCTGTGGACTCCTCAGATTGGCCGCCCGCAGCTACGTGGGCGTCTGGTGTCCCAGGTTCGTCATGCGCCATGGGACATGCTCTAACACAGGCCACCCCAATCCCACCAGCCCTCTGGGTGGTGGTGGCCCAGAGCGCTTCTTCCAACTCCCCTTTTCCACTTCTGGGAGGGGTTTACCCCTCCTCCTACCGCCTACCCCTGAGTCTGGAATCAAGACTCCGCGAGGTGAGGGTCGTTATTCGGCCCAAGATGACTGAAGCAGGGCCCAAGAAATCCGAGATGGCCTACAATTATTATGGCCCAAGATATCCCAAATTGGCTCCAGATGGGTTCCAGCATGCATCCAAGAGGTTACAAGGCGGCTGCAAGTGGCCGCGGGGCCTCAAGGATGCCCAGCAGAAGCTGAAATCCTTCAAAAACCAACGGCCCGGGGGTTGTCCCAACAGCCTGGCCCGCGGGTATGTCTTAACGGTTTCGCGATCTGGCTATCGGAAAACGCGCCCGCGCTGGCCGAGGCGGCGACGGCGCAAAGGGAAACCGATACGCGTGCTCTTGCAATACAAAGAGATGAGGTGGCGGGGGGCGAGAAAAATCAGGAGGGAGAGGAGGGGACAACGTACGGAGCGGGAGGATGGCCTGCGCCAGGGCGAGAATGAGAATAGTGCAGAGGAGGCAGCAAGAGAGCCTCCGCAATCGCAAGCACGACGATGAGGGCTACTTCCAAACTGGCCGAAAGGACTCTCATGCGAAGTCCTACCGTCGGAGTTACTTCACGGTCCCTGGGCCCGTCAAGGGCTCCCAGCGGCCGAAAGTAGAAGCAAACCTCCCGTCATGATTTGTTCCCAATGAGGCTCGCAGCACGGGCTCTTACTTGGTTAACGGGTGGTGCCTCGGGAAGTTATTGAGCCCGATCCTCAGAGGTTCCCCGGGTTCCTCGGGTTCCCTCTGTTCCCCGTGTTCCTCGGGTTCCTCGGGTTCCTCGGGCTCCTCGGGTTCCCCGGGTTGCCCGGGTTCCTCGGGTTCCCGGGATTCCCGGGGTTCCCCGCCCCCCGTTCCTCGTATTCTTACGGTGTCCGTTCCAAGAAATCCCAAGCAATGCCAAGCGATGCCAAGCGATGCGCCCATACAATAGGCTTTCCCCTGATTGGGGTCGCGCCGGGATCACTTCTTGGCCAAGGGGGTCTGGCCGAAAGGACTCCCATGCGGGGCTCTACCGTCGGAGCTGATTGACGGCCCCGGGGCCCGTCGAGGGCTCCCGGCGGCCGACCGCAGCAGCAAACATCCCACCTCGTGACTTTGAGATTCGAGAGGCCCGAAGGGGCTCTGGACCCGCAGGCCGAGCCCGAGCCCCGGCGCCGCCCAGGCCTTCACGGCGTGGGTGCGGCGGGCCACGGCGCTGCTGTTCCTGCGGCGCGGCGCGGGGGCGCGCCGCTCCCACGGGGGCGGTGCCCACCCGGCCTGGGGCCAGCACAGGGGCCTGAGCACGGCCGACCGCCACCCTGCCTGCCCCGCCTCCCCTCGGTCCGACCGCAACGGGGTACCATCGTCGCGCTGCCAGAGGGGGCTCCGAATCCGGAGCGAGGTGGCGATTCTGGCCACGGCGAGCCTCGGCGTCGGAGAGGCGTCCAGGCCCAGGCCTCAGGAACGGCCCAGAAGCGGGAGCCCCGTCCTGACAGGGCGGGCAGAGAAGGGGAGCGAAGGGAAGCCTGCAGATGCGCGAGCAGGACGCAGCAGCAGAGGCAAGACACAGGCGGAAGGCACGCAGAAGTACATCGGCCCGCAGGCGAAGCGCAAGCCACAAGGATGCGAGCGGGGGATCGACTACAGAAGTGGCTTACCCCAGAATTGATTTTCTCGCCGAAGCCTTGAAACAGAGCCGCTCGTGGAATTTCGTAGCACGAGCATTCTACAGATGCTTCGAGGATTCGACGAGAAAATCAAGTTTGGGGTAAATCAAACCTGTAGTCGATCCCCTACTCGAAGGATGAGAGAGGCGGGCTTCGGAAACACTGAAAGAGAGCAGGACTGCAGGCAAACAGCAGGGCCAGTACAACATGGGCGAGGATCGACAGCAGTTCATGTAGATTTCGAACCGATTCGCTGTCTGTGTCGCCGCGGGTGTTGCTCATTTGAGACACAAGCTCGCCTGCCCCACCGTGGCCACTGTCGCATTTGGCTTTCGGACAGCATGAGCACAGCCGCCCGCCGCCCTTCGTGCCCCCCTCCCCCGAGATCACACCGGGCGTTCTCGCCATGCTTCGGGCCCCCAAATCCTCACGGATCGATCCTGCGCGCAAGATGCCGCAGCAAGGTGGTGCCCAGGGCTCTGGCCGAATTTTTGTGTACGATGTTGCATTCTCGTGCGTGGCGTCGGATCTAAGGGCCCCCATGCCCCCTCCCCTGCCCAGAAGCCCCCTCGACGCATGAAGAAATCACGGCGGACAGCTTCTGCTGCGTTTCGGCCTCTCGGGGGCCCCTTACGGGGCTCACGGGTCGTCAACAAAACGACTCGGGAGGGGGGGCCAGGCCCCGACTGGCCACCTTCACGTCCACCGCCCCCTCTGAGTTCCCCCCCCTGGGCGCGCCGCCGCTCCTCTTCTCCCTCGATAAGACAAGATGGCCAGGCTCGGTGCCTCGCCTACCTGGATGTTCGATCCTGGGCCCCTCGTGAAAAGCGCAGCCGTCCAGCTCTCGCGCCGAAGACCGCCAGAAACTTCCGAAACAGGCCTCCTCCTCCTCCTCCTCCTCCTCCTCCTCCTCCTCCTCCTCCTCCGCCTCGTCCGCCTCTTCCTTCCATGGAAGCAGGGGAAGAAAATTGGAAAGCTGACTTAGCAGAAATGTTCGGAGGTCCGCGCGGACCTCCGCAAGTGTGTTCCCAACCAGCTTGTGGTGCGGGGTCCTCGTTTAAAATCAGCAGCGCCCCGCATCCCAAGCTCCATCCTCCTCCCCCTCTTCCCTCCTCCAATCCCTGCATCTGCCCTCCTCATCTTCGTTGTTGTCATCATCACCCTCATCATCAGCATCAGCTTCATCCTCATCCTCATCATCACCATAATCAATCGCATCTCGGCACACCACTGACACGCTTCTTGGCCCTATGGAGGGCTCCACCGAAGGCACCAGGGACAGGGCCCGCATGGTGGCCGTCGTGGTCATCGCCGCCGCCATTGTCACTGTCGCCGTCAGCATCAACGGCAGCAAGAGCAACAAGGCGCCATTGCTCTCGATCGGGCAGGCTGGGCATCGTCGTCACCATCCTCTTCGTAACGGCTGCATCATCATCATCATCATCATCATCATCATCATCATCATCATCATCATCATCATCATCATCATCATCACCACCACCACCACCACCACCACTACCATCATCATCATCATCATCATCATCATCATCATCATCATCATCATCATCATCATCATCATCATCATCATCATCATCATCATCATCATCATCATCATCATCCCTCATCATCATCATCCTCATCATCATCATCATCATCATCATCATCATCATCATCATCATCATCATCATCATCATCATCATGATCATCATCATCACCATGATCTTCATCATCATCATCAGCAGCAGCATCATCATAAGCATCATCATCCTCAGCATCATCATCATCATCACCATCATCATCATCATCACCATCATCCTCAGCATCCTCAGCACCATCAGAATCATCATCATCACCATCATCATCATTAGCAGCATCATCATCATTATCATCACATTACCATCATCAAGCCGCACCCATCATCGACATCAAAAGCATGATCGCAATTACCAATGTTATCATGATCACCATCATCATTACCAATTTCATCGTCCCCGTCACAACCACAATCGCCATCATCGATCGTCATCATGAACCATATTCATCGTAATAACCATCATCATCATACCGCCAGACCCGTCATCATCATCGCCATAGCCATTAGAGTGTTCATCGTCATCGCTGCCGTCGTCGCCCTTCCTGGCCGGGCGCTCCTCTGGGCCAAGCTCGCGGCGGCTCCCATCGCCACGCCGACGGCCACGGCGCCCGCGAGGGAGGCTGCGGCGAGGCAGGGGGGCCCGGGGAAGAGCAGGACGAGAGCGATGCCATCATTTACGAGTGGCTCAGGATACGTCCCAGGAATTCCAGAGCATCTAGTGGCCCTCGCTCCTGCAGCCTGCGCGGCCCATTCAGGGAACCATGCAGATCCTGCAGTTTGGGCAAGCTTGGAGCGTACCATAAGCATAACATCTTGCCCCTCTGAAAGCAGGGGAGCAGGAGAAGGAGGAGGAGGAGGAGAACACCCGGTGGCCCGCCCTGGGCTGCCCCGCCACGCCTCCCGCCACAACGCGCATGCCTCGCGCGCGTGGGCAAAGTCGGCCTCCTGGAGTTCTTGTTTATGCCACAACAGTACAGGCACAACAGAAGAGAGCTTCTTTGACTCGACCTGGGGGCAAATTATTCACTGCGTGGAGCTCCCCATATGTGCATCTACTCGCATGGACCTGTCCGCCGTGAATGTCTAGGCGCAAGAGCTTTCGAATATTGACGGGCTTCAGTTGTGACAGTCTGGACATCAATCTAACTGCGAATGAATTGGAGTGTGAATGAGCCTCAGTAGTACGAGCGCGTCTCTGTGCATGAGCCTGGGGCCTCCTGGGGCCTCCTGAAACCTACTGGGGCTTCCTGGGGTCTCCAGGAGCCTCTTGGGACCTCCTGGGACCTCCTAGGAAGGTTTCGTGCCCCAGGAGAGGCGCAATCTATAGCAACAGACGTACATAAAACATTGCGGATTAGAGCCACAGGAGAAGGGCAATCTATAGGAACACGCGTAAAACACCAAGGACTCGTGCCCCAGGAGAGGCCCAATACATAGGAACATGAGTAAAACATTTAGGATTGTGTACACAGGAGAAGGACCATCTATAGAAACATACGTAGAACATCAAAGAATCGTGCTCCAGGTGAGGCCCAATCGATAGGAGCATACGTAAAACACATGGGATTGGAGCCACTCCTGTTGCCTTCTGAGGCCTCCTGCTCCTGGGGCCTCTCGGGGCCTCCTGTTGCCTTCCGAGGCCTCCTGGCGCTTCCTGTTGCCTCCTGGGGCCTCCTGTGGTTTCCTGAGGCCGTCCGGAGCTTCCTGGGGCCTCCTGGAGCCTCTTGGGACATCCTGTGGCCTCTTGAGTCTTTCTGTGGCCTCCTGGGGCTTCCTGGAGCCTGTTGGAGCCTCCTGTGGCATCCTGAGAAGAATCTGCGCCCACGAGCCTGGCCACCAAAACAAGCAAACCGATCGAGACATCCTCAAAATCTGGCCCACCTGGGGGGTGAAAATGAGCGCCTCGCTCGAGACATCCTCCAAATCTGCTCCGAAAGCGAAGGATGTTGGGCACAGAAACAGGCAAACCGCCTGAGACATCCCCACAAAATGGCCGCGAACGAGCCCGTGCAACCACCCCTGGCGGCTCCCCTTAGGGGTGCTGAAATGAGCGCCTCGCTCGAGACATCCTCCAAATCTGCTCCGAAAGCGAAGGATGTTGGGCACAGAAACAGGCAAACCGCCTGAGACATCCCCACAAAATGGCCGCGAACGAGCCCGTGCAACCACCCCTGGCGGCTCCCCTTAGGGGTGCTGAAATGAGCGCCTCGCTCGAGACATCCTCCAAATCTGCTCCGAAAGCGAAGGATGTTGGGCACAGAAACAGGCAAACCGCCTGAGACATCCCCACAAAATGGCCGCGAACGAGCCCGTGCAACCACCCCTGGCGGCTCCCCTTAGGGGTGCTGAAATCCAGCGCCCCGCCTGAGACATCCTCACAATCTGCTCTCCAAGCGAAGGATGTTGGGCACAGAAACAGGCAAACCGCCTGAGACATCCCCACAAAATGGCCGCGAACGAGCCCGTGCAACCACCCCTGGCGGCTCCCCTTAGGGGTGCTGAGTATGAGTAAGTCTGTGTATGGGTAAGTCTGTGTATGAGTAAGTCTGGGTATGAGTAGGTCTGTGTATGAGAAAGCCTGTGTATGTGTACGTCTGGGTATGAGTAAGTCTGAGTATGACTAATACTGTGTATGAGTAAGTCTGGGTATGAGTGAGTCTGTGTATGAGTACGGCTGGGTGTGAGTAAGTCTGTGTATGAGTAATTCTGTGTATGAGTATGTCTGAGTGTGAGTAAGTCTGAGTATGAGTAGGTCTGAGTATGAGTAAGTCTGAGTATGAGTAAGTCTGTGTATGAGCAAGTCTGAGTATGAGTAAGCCCGACAGGAGGGGAGGAGAAAAGAGGAGGAGGAAGGAGAAGGAGTAGGAGGCGTCCAAGTAATAACAAGAACCCCATCTTAGGATATGGGGAAAAAGGTTCACAAACTCTCTGCGACCACCGAACATCACGCACAAACTATGGCAGCAGCAGGGTCCGAACTCCAGAAATGTGCGTTGGAGACGTTGATGGATGCTGGCGCGAACACGGAGATGGACAACTTCAGCATTCGTGACCCGTTCGCTCCACTGTGTACTTGTGTGCTTCCGTTCTGTCGACTCTTCGCGCGAATATCTTTTCTGGATAAGCTGCTGGGGATACTAGAAGAACAACAACAACAACAACAACAACAACAACAACAACAACAACAACAACAACAACAACAACAACAACAACAACAACAACAACAACAACAACAACAACAACAACAACAACAACAACAACAACAACAACAACAACAACAACAACAACAACAACAACAACAACAACAACAACAACAACAACAACAACAACAACAACAACAACAACAACAACAACAACAACAACAACAACAACAACAACAACAACAACAACAACAACAACAACAACACATTCGCCCGTTCACATTTCGAGAAGTGGTAGAATGGCTTGAGAATGCCCGCCGACCCTTCCGGGTCCCTGGGCGTCTGAGACCTTCCCCCCCCATCATTATTCCCCCCCCCAGGTATCCCAAACCGAGACTTTGACACCTCACCCTTGGACCCCCCCCCGTGGCCCGGGGACGAACGCGGCATGGGGATGCAGAGGGCCCCCCGACGTCCCAAGAAGATCCCACGACGCAACCAAGACAGTCCAAGAAGGCCCCGAGTCGCTGAAAGGTCGCTCCAAGCGACCAAGATTGCCTCCAGACGGCCCCAGATGCCCCCGAGACGCCCCAAAAAAGCCTCCAAGAGGTCCTCCAAGATGGTCCCAGGGACAAAAAAAGTCGAAGTACCAGATAAGCCTTATATTCAGCATATACACCTCTTCCGCATGCACGGCCCTAAAACCAACCAAAAAAGGTCTCCAACACCGATGCAAGAGGTCCCCAAAAGAACCCCAAGACGGCCCAAGAGAGCCCCAAGACTGCAGTCGATGGCCCAAGAGAACCCCAAGACGGCCCCAAGAAAGGCCCAAGAGCGAAAGCCCGAATCGACAATTATAGCTTTTCGGTCCAAAATACATCCATGAGGCCTCAAGAGGCCCCCAACAAGTTTCAAGAGGCCGTCTGGAGGCCCCCAAAACCACCCATTTGGGAAGCCCCAGGAGACACCCAAAAGCTCACAAGAGACCCCCACGCGGCTCCCAAGGAGCCCCCAATTCTCCCAAATAGCCTCGCAGACACTCCGAAGAGAGCCCCAGAAGCGTCCCTGAAGACCCTGATCCCACAACGTGGACACGGTGGCGGGATGGGCCGAAGGCCCCGAGAAGCTTCCCTGATGATCCTGACCCAATCCAGACACGGTGGCGGGCTGGGCCGAAGGCCATTCGAGATTCGACGGCGTGGAATCCAGCACAAAGCCTTTTCCTTCTCCTCCTCCTCCTCCTCGTCCTCCTCCTGCTCCTCCTCCTCCTCCTCCTCCTCCTCCACCTCCTCCTCCTCGTCCTACTCCTCTGTCTCTTCATCTTCCACCCCTCCTCCTCCTCCTACTCCTCCTCCTCCTCCTCCTCCTCCTCCTCCTCCTCCTCCTCCTCCTCCTCCTCGGCCGCCTCCTCTTCCTACTCTTCCTCCTCCTCCTCCTCCTCCTCCTCCTCCTCCTCCTCCTCCTCCTCCTCCTCCTCCTCCTCCCCGTCCTCCTCCTCCTCCTACTCCTCCTCCGCCTTTTCCTCATTATCTCCTCCTCCTCCTCCTCCTCCTCCTCCTCCTCCTCCTCCTCCTCCTCCTCCTCCTCCGCCTTTTCCTCATTATCTTCCTCCTCCTCCTCCTCCTCCTTTTCATCCTCATTTTCATCCTCCTCGTCCGCTCACACCCCCGGGCAATCAAAATAAGCAACGTCCCAACAAGCCTCCAAGAGCAAGCACCCAGATTCAACAATCGCCCTGTTCCCTTGGAAAACATATGAATTTGTATCCGATGAGTGCGTAATTGCTACATATCGTCATGTGTTACATTAGAATGTCTCCCTCCTGCCCCCCCCCAGGGGCCACGCCACATCCACCGGTGGACCCCTTCTGGGATTTAAAAACCCCCCAAACATATAGAAAATCAATGATTGGGGCCCCGTGGCCCTCCCGGGGGCCCAAAGGGCTTCAAAATGGCTCACGATGGGCTCTGGACGGCCCACGACGGCCCCGAGACGGCCCAAGTTGGCCCCAAGAGGGCCCAAAAAGCGCCCAAGACGGCCCAAGAGGGCCCCCAGAGGAGCCCCAATAGGGCCTCCGCACGCCCAAATAATTGATGTTCAGAAAAGGTTTTGTCGGATTCTCGCATTCTCGTTTTTGTTGGCCTCCTGACGACCCAAGCAGCCTCCAAAATCGCCCAAGGCCGGCTCAAGAAATGCCCGACAGGACCCCAAGACGGCCCAAGGGGCCCCCGAAACGGCCCAAGAGGACCCCAAGAGAGCCCCCAGGCGGCCGCGAGGGGCCCCCAATACGGCCTCCGCACGGGCCAAGCGGCACAACAGCGCCCACTACGGCTCAAGACGCCCCCAAAAAGCCCAAAGAGACCCCAAAGAAGTCCCCAAGAGACCCCCGAAAACCCCCAAAACGACTTGACTGTACGTACTCCGGACGTGCACCCCGCGAAACGAAAGGAATCCCACGTCTGGAAGTGACGTGTTGCCGG